CCCTTACACACACACACACAAATACACACTGCTTCTCTTACACACACACATAAACACAATGCATATCTTACACACATACTCAATGCACCCCTTACAGACACACACACACACTGCATTCCTTACAAACACAGAAACACACCTTGCATCCCTTACACATACAAATACAGATTCACACAATGCATCCCTTAAACACAACCAGAAACACACAACACATCCCTTACACACAAACACACACTGCCTTCTATCCCTTACACAAAAACATACTGCAGCTACTACACACACACACACACAGCATCACCTACACAAACTGGTATCCCTATACATTACATTTCATAAGTACACACCTTAGATCTTCTACACTAACATGTAACACATCCCCTACACACTCCACTCCCTGCGAGCGAATTAATGGGTGGAACATGCAGGTGGACTTATGTGTGGGCCTTATGGGCCCTTGAGCTGTGCAAGGGGCCCCCAAAAATGGAGCTGCTTCACGTTCCCCCAGAACATTGACTTTTGTGACCACAGTTACAAACAGCCGCCAGAGATCCTGTTTTACACCAGACCAGTGGAGCCAGACTGCAGCCAGAGCCCATCATCATCCTCATCTGTTTGTAGGTAGGCAATCTAGTATAATATTCATGGCATTAATCTCTAATTTATCTCACATTAAAGGGACACTATAGTCCCCAGAACCATTGCAGCTTAATGTAGTGGTTCTGGTGTCTATAGCCTGTCTCTGCAGGCTTTTTAATGTAAACACACACTGTGTGCAGCACTGGCGTTAGTTCAAATGGCAGATCATATGGGTGGGGCATTGTGATGTCACATGGGGGGGCTGCAAATGTTTATTTTGCCTAGGGCGGCAAAAATCCTTACACCGGCACTGACACTGCCACACTACTCAGATACACCCCCTTATATACATACACACTGCCATACTGCACAAATACATCCCTTAATACATACACATTTCTACCCTATTGAAATACACCACCTCATACATACACACTCGAACATTATACAGATACACTAGAGACATGTGCATAGCTACATAGTTACATAACTGAAAAGAGACTTGCGTCCATCAAGTTCAGCCTTCCTCACATTTGTTTTTTGCTGTTGATTCAAAAGAAGGCAAAAAAACCCAGTTTGAAGCACAATTTTGCAACAAGCTAGGAAAAAAAATCCTTCTTGATCCCAGAATGGCAGTCAGATTTATCCTTGGATCAAGCAGTTATTAACCTTCTTTGAAAGATTATATCCTTGAATATTCTGTTTTTGCAAGTATGCATCTAGTAGCTGTAGAATTCAAAAGGTGATCAATATGTTACATTCACACCTCAAAAACAGACAATGGTTGTAGTAGCATACCCTATGGGGAGTTACTTCTTATGGGCTCTCAAATTAATATTTATCTCACATGTACCATTATACAGAGAACTAGATCAATAAAAAGCACCTAAATCCCATCCAGCATTGTGATAACGGAATTTTATGGAAACTTAACAAAACTGGCATTTTCCCCTCGCTTTTATCATTTCTTCTGAAAGTCATTTTCAGCTCTCAACATTCTGTTGATTCTTTTTAGTCATTTTTTTAAAGAAAAATTTACATTTTGTAGAACAGATGTGAAGTTTTTCATCCATCTTTATTGTTTGTTTGTTTTCTGATTGAGAAGACAGTAGAATGATGTTTCCTATAACATCACATAGTATTTGTGCGTTTTACTTATTTTTTTTTTAACATTCTATGACACATATATATATATAATGTTTGTAATTAATGCTTGGGGAAATGTCATGTTCTCAGTCCTAATGGAAAAAACACATACTGAATCATCAGTTCATATTCACACATAAATTTTACATATACATCTGAAATATTTCTGACATTATTATCATCTAAATTACGTAAAATGGTTATAATGTTACCTAATAAATAAAATGCATTGAGCATGGAATCCATTTTATTATTTTCCTCTATGGCATTTGGAACATTTGATTATTTGCCCATCTGTTCTGTTTCTGCTTCACAAAGCATTCTTTTACTCACAACCGGGCATGAAAAAAAGCATCCATGCTTCTTTCAACCATTAGTAAAAACAAACAGAACCTGTGCACAGTTAGAACAGAATACTGCCAAAATGTTTGAAATGTAATACTTTGGATGATGTGCATAAAATAAATGTTAATACAACTCTGTTCATATTAAATCATCATATTGATTGTCTAGAACACCTTCTGTCCCAGAAGACCACATACCCCTTGATTGTATTTTATACATTGCTGTTTGACATTAGATATATTTATGTATTGCAATTATTAAGCACACTATCATGTTAGTGACTGAGGTTTATTCAAGATTCCATGTGTGTGACTGAAGACATTTTAGCACTTATGTTATGTGCGCCATAGGTATTATTTATTGCTTATTAAAGGAGAGAAAGAGCTTTCATTTAATATCCTATATGCAAACCTAACACAATATTATATGTGAATGAAATGTTAAAAATGGGCAAAAACTGGAAAAAAACATGTTTTTTCTGTTTTCAATTTTTTACTTATGATATTTTTTCACATCCAGTGCAGCTAAATAAAAAAACTCAAAATAGATTAATATATCAGTCTTGATTGTTACATGCCTATTGTGTTTAGGATCTAAATTATTTTTTGACAGTTAATGCTATCCCCATACCAACCCCCACACTAACTCTATACCAATGCTTACACTAACTCTAAACGTATGCCTATTCTAATTGTATCCTTAACCTTTACCCCACACTATCCTTATCCTAAAAACAGCATTAACCCTTACCTTACCCTGCACTACATCTAACACAAACCATAACCCTACCTGAACACATACTCTAACCCTATCCTACTCTTACCCCCAAATTTAACCCTAACCATAGCCCTACCATAATCCTAAACCCACCACTAAGCCCAACTATAACCCTAAGGTAACCTACTGCTAATATCAATTCTGATATTAGAAATGGGTTTTACTATTTAACATAGTAGATAGTGGTATAATCAGGAAGACCAGATCTCCTGGTTTTACCGGGATCGTCCTGGTTTTACAGAGATCAGCCCGGTTTGTGTTGAATCTCCCAGCGTCCAGAGAAATTTTTGCGGGACGCATATATGTCCATTTTTTTTTTTTTGTACTAGTAGTGGCAAAACTTAACGAGAGAGACGCTGGATCCTAAATTGCTGGTTCTATGGATGCGGCAGAGTGTGGACCCCTCTGCTCCTAACATGGAGGGGCTTCCTCCTGTCTTAATGCTACGCGAATTATGCCGATTGCCAGCCAATTAGAAACCACACTGCATGGTGACGTCACCCCGCAACGTCACCACCTCCCTTAAGTCCCCCACCTGCGGTGCATATAAGGAGAGCTGAATTTGAATTTGAAAGTAGCTGAATTTGCTGAAAACAGAATTGAAAGTGGATAATGGAGAGAAAGGTAAATGATCAGAATAGAGAGAAAGGGAAAGGAGCAGAAAGGAGAGTAAGGGAAAGGAGAGAAAAGGAAAGAAAGGGAAAGGAGCAAAAAGGAGAGAAGTGAAAGAGGGAAATGGAAATGAGCAAAAAGGAGAGAAAAGTAAAGGAGCAAACAAGACAGAAAAGTAAAAAAGAGAAAGGGAAGAAGCAAAAGGGTGAGAAAGGGAAAGGATCAGAAAGGAGAGAAAGAGAGAGAAGCAAAAAGGAGAAAAAAGTAAAGGAACAGAAAGGAGAGAAGTAAAGGAGAGAAAGGGAAAGGAGCAAAAAGGAGAGAAAGGGAAAGGCGCAAAAAGGAGAGAAAGAGAAGACGCATGTCACATCCTGTTCCTGTTGCAGATCATTTTTGGCCTTGGCTTCCGATATCCAGTACTCTTTTTCTTGGTTTTTCTGCTTTCTATTCTATGTCTGGTTTTCTTTATGCTGGGTTTTCTGGGTTTATTCCTTTATTCCATTACTGGAATTCCCACTCTCCTGGATTCCTTTAAATATTTGTTTTTTGTTGCCACACCTGTTCCTTTGTCATTTATCCTTTTTGTTTCAGAGTTTTCCCTGCTAGCAGTGGTCTCATTCCTCTGCTCCTTTCCTTGCAGGTAAGTATTGTGTGTGTTTTATTGTTGTACATGCATATCTAGGCAGTTAGGGCCCACCGTAATTGGAGTACTTTGGCCCAGTGGTGGGCTGCATACATCTTGGCCATTAATGTATGTCTAAATCTCCGATGTTTATTACATATATAGTACTTTTTATAGTACTTTTTTTTGCCTTGTATCTTTTGTCTAGTTTTATTTTGTCTTGTATTCCCAGTTCATGTACAGTCCTGTCCTGTCATGCCCTGTCCATGTCCTGTTCTTGTTTCCCTCATGTATTGTGTACATGTTCTGAGTTCTGCTTTCTGTCCTGCTCTGGATTCTTGTAGTTAAGTGTTCTTGCATAGCAAGACCACTTAATGTTATCTCACATATATATTATTAAGTGTTCTTGCATAGCAAGACCACTTAATGTTATCTCACATATATATTATTATTATTATTATTATTATTATTATTATTAAGTGTTCTTGCATAGCAAGACCACTTAATGTTATCTCACATATATATTATTAAGTGTTCTTGCATAGCAAGACCACTTAATGTTATCTCACATATATATTATTATTCTTATTATTATTCTTATTATAGCCAAATTTGCCACCCTAACTCCTCCCACAGTTTTTACACTACATAGACAAAAATTTACCAAAACGTGCAGATTGTTCCCGATCGGATTGCTATTACTTTGTGGAACGTTTCGCCGAATGGTTCACGGAATATCGTCGTTCTTGTGGCGAAATTTGTCCCATAGGAATGAATGGCAAAGCTAGAGTGGGAGCTGGCAAAAGTTGAAAAATCAGGACTTGATTTCTAAACTGCCACCACTCCCTTATTTTCAGGCCCACCTACACAAATCTTATATCAAAACGTTCAGCTATCCCTGCTGCCACTAAACATGTCAACGGCTAAGCCGTAGTCCTGATAGTTTTCACAATATGACCATTTGTTTGCAACTAACGCCGTCCATTGACATTCATTGAAACTTCACTCTGCAAAGCTCACATTTGAAGGGCAATTTCTAAACTGCGACTGTGCCTTCATTTTTAATACTTCAGAGACATACTATGCATCAAAATGTAGGTCTGGGTCTTGTGATTCTCACAATATAAAGCTCTTCACTGTAGGATTTATAGTTTTTAAGATACGACCGTTTGAAGATGGCAACCGCCAAAATACTCTGACCTGTGTCAAGCTGCAGCAGCAAGTGATGTCATAGACAGGGCCTTTTGAACACCTGCTAATGTTTTTATAAATGTATGGTTTAATGTAACTGTGCAACAACGTTGCAATTAAATGTGCTATATAAATGATAACAGTTACTCCGCCCACTCCAGTTTTAGACTACTGGTGGAGGCAAGAACACTTCACACAATTTCCCCAGAAATTGTAGCTTTTCTAGTTATTAAGTGTTCTTGCATTGCAAGACCACTTAAAGGACCACTCTAGGCACCCAGACCACTTCAGCTTAATGAAGTGGTCTGGGTGCCAGGTCCTTCTAGGGTTAACCCATTTTTTCATAATTATAGCAGTTTCAGAGAAACTGCTATGTTTATGAATGGGTTAAGCCTTCCCCCTAATCCTCTAGTGGCTGTCTCATTGACAGCCACTAGAAGCGCTTGCGTGCTTCTCACTGTGATTTTCACAGTGAGAGCACGCAAGTGTCCATAGGAAAGCATTGTAAATGCTTTCCTATGCGACGGGCTGAATGCGCGCGCAGCTCTTGCCGCGCGTGCGCATTCAGCCCAGGAGGAGGAATGGAGGAGGAGAGAAGGAGGAGAGCTCTCCGCCCAGCGCTGGAAAAAGGTAAGTTTTTACCCCTTTCCCCTTCCAGAGCCGGGCGGGAGGGGGTCCCTGAGGGTGGGGGCACCCTCAGGGCACTATAGTGCCAGGAAAACGAGTATGTTTTCCTGGCACTATAGTGGTCCTTTAATGTTATCTCACATATAGATTATTCTTATTATAGCCAAATTTACCACCCCAACTCCTCCTACAGTTTTTACACTACATAGACAGAAATATACCAAAATGTGCGGATTGTTCCCGATTGGTGTGCTATTACTTTGTGGAACGTTACGCCGAATGGTTCACAGAATATCGTCGTTCTTGTGGTGAAATTGGTCCCATAGGAATGAATGGCAAAATGTTCAAAAACTAGAGTGGGAGCTGGCAAAAGCTGAAAAATCAGGACATGATTTCTAAACTGCCACCACTCCCTCATTTTCAAGCCCACAAATCTTATATCAAAACGTTCAGCTATCCCTGCTGCCACTAAAAATGTCCACAGCTAAGCCATAGTCCTGTTAGTTTTCACAATATGACCATTTGTTTGCAACTCACGCCGTCCATTGACATTCATTGAAACTCCACTCTAGCCAGCTCAAATTTGAAGGGCAATTTCTAAACTCTGACTGTGCCTTTATTGTTAATATTTCAGAGACATACTATGCATCACAATGTAGGTCTGGGTCTTGTGATTCTCACAATATAAAGCTCTTCGCTGTAGGATTTATAGTTTTTAAAATATGACCATTCGAAGATGACAACCGCAAAAATACTCTGACCTGTGCCAGGCTGAAGCAGCAAGTGATGTCATAGACAGGGCCTTTTGTACACCTGCTAATGTTTTTATAAGTGTATGTTTTAATGTAACTGTGAAGCACTTTGGGCAACAACGTTGCAATTAAATGTGCTATATAAATAAATAATAAGTTACTCCGCCCACTCCAGTTGTAGACTACTGCTGGAGGCAAGAACACTTCACACAATTTCCCCAGAAATTGTAGCTTTTCTAGTCTTGTCTTGTTATCTTGTTTGATGCCTATTCTAGTCTTGCCTTGTTTCCAGTACTGGATACATATTTGCAATATATCTAGCTCCTAGGATCTGCAGAAGCTGCATCAGGCCCCTGGTATGTGGCTCTTGGTATGTGTCTGCTCCTTTACTTTTCTCTCCTTTCTGCTCCTTTCACTTTCTCTTATTTTTGCTCCTTTCTCTTTCTCTCCTTTCTTCTCCTTTACTTTTCTCTCCTTTTGCTCTTTTCCCTTTCGCTCCTTTAATTTTCTCTCCATTCTGCTCTTTTACTTTTCTCTCCGTTATTTTTTCTCCTTTTTGCTCCTTTACTTTTCTCTCCTTTCTGCTCCTTTCACTTTCTCTTATTTTTGCTCCTTTCTCTCCTTTCTTCTCCTTTACTTTTCTCTCCTTTTGCTCTTTTCCCTTTTGCTCCTTTAATTTTCTCTCCATTCTGCTCTTTTACTTTTCTCTCCGTTAATTTTTCTCTGTTTTGCTCCTTTACTTTTCTCTCCTTTCTGCTCCTTTCTCCTTCTCTCCTACCCTTTCCCTTTCTCTCCTTTCTGCAACTTTCCCTTTCTCTCCTTTCTGCTCCTTTCCCTTTCTCTCATTTACTTCTCTCCTTTCTGCTCCTTTATGTTACTCTACTTTTTGCTCCTTAACATTTCTCTCATTTATTTCTCTCCTTTCTGCTCCTTTACTTTTCTCCTTTTTTCCCTTTTCCCGTTCTCTCCTTTTTTGCCCCTTTCCCTTTCTCTCCTTTTTTGCCCCTTTTCCTTTCTTCTTTACTTGACTTAGATCATCAGCTTACCGCTCTAGACAATCAGCGGCACCCATGCCTGACATCATTTTGTGCTTCCTGAAATTCAGTTTCAGAAGCTGAATGCTGCTGGGCCACCTGGAGATCTGACACTGAATGCAGCCTTTGTGGGCTAAACAATTTTAGAGCGGTTTGACACCTTAAAGGAAAGAGATCACCCAGAGGCCTCCTGGCGTCATAGTTACATAGCTGAAAAGAGATTTGCGTCCATCAAGCTCAGCCTTCCTCACATATGTTTTTGCTGTTGATAAAAAAATAAGGCAAAAAACTAGTCTGAAGCACTTCCAATTCTGCAACAAACTAGTAAAAAAATCCTTCTTGACCCCAAAATAGCAGTCAGACATCTCTTTGGATCAAGCAGCATTTACCCCACTAATTATAAATTATATCCCTGTATGTTATGTTTTTGCAAGTATTTATACAATTGCTGTTTAAACATCTGTATGGACTGTGATAAAACTAGCTCTTCAGGAAGATAATTCCATATCCTTATAGCTCTTACTGTAAAAAAAAATATTTTCTTTGCCTTAGATTAAATCTCCTTTCTTCCAGCCTAAATGTGTGACCTCAGGTCCTATGTATAGCCCTGTCTATGAATAGATTTCCAGATAATGGTTTGTACTGGACCCGAATATATTTCTATAATGTTATCATATACCCTCTGAGGTGCCGTTTTTTCAAACTAAAGAAATTTTTCTTTTTTATTCTTTCTCGTAGCTAAAATGCTCCATTCCTTTTTTTCAATTTTGTACCTTGTCTCTGCACTTTTTCTAGTGCCATAATATCCTTCTTTAGAACAGGTGCCCAAAATTGCACAGCATATTCAAGGTGTGGTCTTACCAGCGATTTATAAAGAGGCAAAATTATATTTTCATCCGAGAATTTATGCCCCTATTTATCCATGACAAAACCTTACTGGCCTTAACAACTGCAGATTGACATTGCATATTGCTGCCTAATTTGTTGTCTATAACAATTGCCAAATCCTTCTCGTGTGTGGTTATCCTTAATTCACTACCATTTAGGGTGTGAGTTGCTTGAGCATTCTTGACCCCAAAGTGCATAACTTGCATTTCTCTACATTAAATTTCATCTGCCCAGTCCCCGAAATTATCTAAATCCCTCTGCAGCAAAGTTATATCCTGCTCACATTTTATTACTTTACAATGTTTTGTGTCCTCTGCAAACACTAAAACATGGCTTTTAATGCCTATTTCAAGATCATTTATAAATATGTAATATAGAAGCAGTCCCAAAACAGAACCCTGAGGGACACCACTTACCACTTTTGTCCAGCCTGAAAATTTACCATCAATGTCAACTCGTCTAACCTTAAGCCAATGTTCTATCCAAGAACAAGAATATTAATCTAGACCAATTTCTTTTTGTTTGAAGACTAACCTATTCTGAGGAACCGTATCAAATGCCTTGGCAAAATCCAAGTAGATCACATCCACTGCAACTGCCTGATCTATACCTTTCCTTACTTCTTCGTAGAATGCAATTAGGTTGCTTTGACATGACCTATGTTTCATAAAACCATGCTGATTATTGCTAATAACAAAGTTCTTCCCAATTAATTCCTGAATATTATCCTTTAATAGCCCTTCAATATTTTTCCAGTCACATAAGTTAAGCTCACAGGTCTATAATTTCCAGGCAAGGATTTTGAACCCTTTTAAAATGTAGGAATGACATCTGCCTTCCTCCAATCCTCCGGTTCAATACCTGAAACAAACTAATCTTGAAATACAGAGATTAAATACAGAGGTTCACTTATTTCCTTACATAGCTCCATAAGTACTCCTGGGTGAATACGTTCAGGCCCCGGAGTTTTATTTACATTAATTTTCTTTAACTACTGAAGCACCTTGTCTCGAGTCATACAATCACAAGTTATCTGCAAGTTTTTTTTCAGCAATCATTTGCATGTCTCTTGCCATAGGATCCTCATTAATATTTACTGAAGAAAAATAGTTATTTAAAATTTCTGATGTACTTGAAAAAAATGTTTGGGGTTGGTTTTGCATTCTTTGGCTGTAAATTTCTCATTTTCTAGTTTAGCCACTTTAATTGCCTTTTTGCAAGCATTATTGGCTTCTTTATATCTTATATAGGATGCCTCTGATTTGTCTGTTTTAAATGCTTTAAATGCCCTTTTCTTATTTTTAATCTCTTATTTTACTTCTCTACTAAGTCACATTGGTTTAAATTTGTTTCTTTTATGTCTATTACCCAATGATACATACTGAGAAATGTACCTTTCTAATATTTATTTGAAGAGTTTCCATTTATCCTCAGTGGGTTTTTTTTCACTAAGGAGTTTATGCCAGTCGATATGTTGTAGAGCTGCCCTAATCTTATTGAAATTGACTTTTTTTAAATTACACGTTTTAGTATGTCTCACGTGCTTTTGCTTTTTTGAGTTTATTTTAAAAATTACCTTATTGTGATCACTATTTCCCAAATGCTCCCTACTTGAATGTTGGTCAAAAGATCAACATTGTTTGTTATAACGAGATCCAGACAAGCATCCTTTCTAGTTGGTGCTTGTA